GGTCTGATCACTTCAAAATCTTTTCTAGTTACCCGCCCAGGTTTCTGATCACCTCTTTAGTAAAGCACCTCAAAAGACTTTCCTGTAATTGTGTACATGTCTGTTTTTTTTTAAAGATTTTATTTTTAAGTAATCTCTATACCCAATGTGGGGCTTGAACTCACAACCCTGAGATCAAGAGTCACATGCTCTACCAACTGAGCTAGCCAGGCACCCCCTGTACACTTCTATTCTTATTCATTCTTACATGCACTCCAACAGTTTCCTAGCCACTAATCTATCAAAATATCTCTAAAAGAAATTACCCATGACTTGATCTTTTCTTAGCTCTCACTGAGCCTATCAGCAAGTTTTGTGTAGTTGATCCTGCCCTCCTCTTGCAGTACTTCCTTCTCTTAGCCCCTGGTGCACTAGACTCTGGATTTTCTTCCCCCTTCCCTGTCTACTCCTCCACAATGTTCTCTGATCTTTCATCTTCCCTTCTTTGATGCTGCAGTCCCTTAATGTTTGGCTCAAAAACCCAGCTCTCTCTTTGTTCCCTAGATGACCTCATACTTGTCTTTAAATATAATCCATTCCCTAATGACTCTCAAATTCATATATCTGGCTTGGATCAATCCCTGAACCGAACTGCAGTATCCTATATCCAACTGCTCTAGACATCTGCATTTAGATATCTAATAAGCAACCACAGTGTTAACATACCCCAAACCTATGGATTTACACAAACCCCAGAACCCTCCCACAGTCCTCCCCATTTTAATAAATGAACATCTCCATTCTTCCATTTTCTCAACCTTCAAGTTTGGACTTGTCTGTGACCCCTCTCATTCCCTCACATGCCATCTATTATACCAGCAAGTCCTATAATCCCTACCTTGAAAACATCTCAAACAGACGCCTTCTCACCAGCTTCAGCAACACCACCCTAGTCCAGACACTCTTACTGCTTGTCAGTATTAGTATGATATTTTCCTACTGGCTTCCCTGTTTTCTTGCTGGCATCCGAAGCTATTCTTCACATAGAAGTCAGAGGGGTAGTTTTAAGTCAAGTCATGTCAGCCTCTGCACAAAACCCTTCTTGTCTAACCGAAAGGAAAGCTCCAAATCCATGCATTAGCCTTCTCCGTGCCTTCTACATGCTGTGGTTCCCTACTCCTTCTTCAGCCTTACCTACTTTCAACACCATCCTACCCCACAACCAACATACTGCACTAGCCACATTGGCTTCCACGTTGTTCCTGGAGCTTATAACCCTGAAGACTTTTGTACTTGCTATTTTCTCTGCCAGCTGCTTTCTATCCATGGAGCCTCACAGCTAACTCCATTACTTCTTTTATGTCTTTGTTTACATGCCATTTCAAAGGAAATGCATTCCCTTACTACTGTTAGGATCTATTCTGCTCTCCCTTCATTGTACTTATTTTTACTTCATATATTAGATATCTATTCATTTATTTATGATGTCAATACAAATTCCATAAGAGCAGAAACTTTTTTTTTATTGCTGTTTTTCTCATCACCATCTGAGAACCCAGAACAGTGTTTGACCCAATATTAGGTGCTCAATAAACAGTTACTGATTTTAGGGGACATATGTATGCCCTGCGAATACAAACAGTACAATGGGGTGCTGGGTGGCTCTGTCGTGTAAGCATCTGCCTTCGACTCAGGTCACAATCTCAGGGTCCTGGGATCAAGCCCCCCTTTGGGCTCCCTGCTCCACGTGGAGCCTGCTTCTCCCTCTCCCTCTGCCTGTAGCTCCCCCTGCATGTGCTCTCCCTCTCTCTGTCAAATAAATAAATAAAATCTTAAAAAAAAAAAAACAGTAGAATAAAACAGACATTTTTAAAGTAGCTCAAAGGGAGGAATCCCGGTCTTTTATTTTAAAATCTGAAAGCTAAGAGGATGCCACCAATTTATTTATTTTTTTGCCACCAATTTATTAATAAAAGAAAAATTATTCAGATTACCTGAGTTTGCTTGCTGTGTGGCTACAGTTAAAAATTAACATTCTAGACATTTTATTATAATGAGCATTATTCTCCTAAACAGCTTTTCCTGGTTCTGAGAATGTTTTTACTCAGGAGACAAAACATGGAAATTGAAATGAACCTGGGTTTAACTAATATTTGTATAATTGCATGTATAATTGTAAAATTATTGGATAATCTTATTGTAAATAAGCTTCTTAAACATTACTAATTCCATTTGAATATTAATTCATTTTAACAAGGTCTGAACTTTTTATTTCTAGATTGGTTTCGTTCTCTAATTTACATATTATTGAGTCTGTCTAGTTTTTTCTTCATTGCTAGATTAGTGTTTGCTGGATCATCTTTCCATTTTTCTTTCTCCCAGTGTTGCATTCAAGAACAGTATTTAAGAGCACGCAGTAATGCCTTCTTAAAATAATGTTACTTTACAAATGTAATACCTTGACAGAACTTGGAGTTTGCAAAATGATGCAAGCTAAAATGTTTTTGCTCCATAAAATGTATTTGATTCTCCTTCTCTTCTAAATTCCATGTATCTCCTTTCAATATATGCTTTCCAGGATGCTTTGCAAGATTGATGGAGACATTGAATCCAAAAACTAAAAGAGAAAAAAATGTAAATGTGAATTTTCAGTTGACTTTAGAGGAGATATATTGCTTAAGAGAAACATGCAGGAAACAATGCTAGTGGGCAGTAAATCCCAGATTAATTACACATATTCAATACCCTATGGAACCAATGCGTGTAACTGAACTTTTTTATAAAGCACTATAGTTTTATGATTTTTAACACTAGCCAATAAATTTACAAGCATTAGTATGGCAATACGTGATTTTGCCCCTATTACTGGAAGTGAAATTACTGTGCTCTATTACCAGCCTATTAGATCTCTATTCCCACATCTTTTATTTATTGATTTCTTAAAAATCTGTGCTTTATGTCTTGTGGTACAATCAGCAATACACTTCAATTGTTGGAAGATTTGAAACTGCTAAGTAACAAATCTGTGAATTCACAATGATACTCTAAATGATCCAAGAAATGTCATTTTAAGCAGAAATATCAGTATGTATTTTGGTTCATTAGCAGAATATACAATGGCTATTTCTAGCATTTTCTCAGTCTCTCTGTGTAGCCAGTTTGTATTGTGATGCCTGGCCTGAAGCAATTCTATTTTTAGTTCTAATAGAACAGTCTTAAATTGCTTATTTTCTGTTTACTAAAATCATCCTGTTTGTTACCATGGAAACTATGACAAGTGCTCTAACTAACTATTTTATTAAATGAGTTGAAGATAGAGCTGAAGACTGTGAAGGTGCAGCATGTCATTCTTAAGACATATTTTTCATAACATCTGTAAAACCATGGCCGATTTTATAGAAAATATGAGATTAATTATAAATAAAGTCTTCTACATTTCAAATCTGGGAAGCTATTGACATTTAAAAATCTGAATCATGACTAGCACAAAGGCATCCCCAACTTAAAGGAGTCCAAGTTCTAAAAGTGTTTTTGCAAATCAGTTCCTTGGAAATTAGAATATGTTCACCCATAGAAACAATTTTATAAATAAGTAGATCTCTAGGCCCACCCTCAAAGGCTCTTGCACCTGTGATGTCCCAATCTATAGCAATATTAGCAATAGTCTTTGTTCTCAGCTCTGGCAATAGGAGCCATGTTTCAGGGATGAGAAAAGAGGAAAGAATTTTCTCACACTTATTTTGTTTTTAATAGTTATGGCATGCAGAGGACACCATTTTGGAATACTAGTATCCACTCGTCTTAGGGATGTTGGGCTTCCAACTATGTTCTTCTGTTATTTGCCAGTGCCCCTGGCCTCCAACTCTTGGTCTCTCACTTTCTCACATCTCCCTCTGTACCCAAGTCCAGCTTGCTCCCAACCTGCTCCTCCCTCTGCACTGAACCATCGTTCTCCTCAAGACTCAAGATGGTTCCAGCTAGTTAAAAAAAAAAGTCAAAAAATGCTCTATTTGTCTGACTACTTCAGAACTTTTCCTGAAGGTTTACATTTTAAAAATATAATACTTTTGAACCCAAACAAATCCCTAACCTGAGGTTTCCATCACCATGACTCAAAAAAGAAATATCCAGAGGGTAAAGATGTGAGTAAGCTGCTTTAAGGAAATACTTAGTTCTAGAAGTCAGGTTCAAAAAGTCAGTCAAAAGTCAATTGATTCAAAAGAAATCAACATCTTGACAAAATTCTCTAAATCTTGGATCTTGGATTTTCTGTTAGAGGATGGATGGCAGTAGTTAATTGTAAACTGAGTCATCCTTTTGTTCATCTCATTTCCAGAAGATTCTAATAAAATATATCTTATTAGCCTCATAATTGTGCTTTAAAAAGAATATCATCTTTTTGGTTAAGGAATCAAATTAACACAATAATACAGACAAAATTTTGTTCTTGTTTTCTAACAGATTACAAACTGAATAAAATCATTATAATTTGGGCATTGTGAATTTTGCAGGAAAAAAGAAAAGAATTATTGGAACATATACAGAGTCAATAACTTAATCATTTTACATCTAGGAAATTAAAAGAGAAAAAGGAAATAATTTACTTAGCACTAAAATCAAGATGACACAAAGTTATCTTTACTGTTTATACAGCTATATTTTATATAGATTCAGAATTAAAATATATACAAGAAACCTGAGTTTTTCTACAAAGTTAAAGAATATGCTTTTTTCCCTATATTAACTATTATGGTGGTAGGTGTGAAGACAAATGAGATTTTGATACTCTGTTTTTCCATAAGGTTGTACCTGAATTTGCCTATAAGGTCTTTATGGCAAAATTTGTACATTTTCATGTAAATATATGTGCAATGAAATATGAAATAAAAGTCAAATTATTTTTGTTAAATTTTAAATCATTTATGATAGAAAATTCTAAAGGTTTATTAGAATTTTAATATTACTAACACTTCAAAATGAAGGCATATTTTTGACCTAACACTCATTTTTTATCTCCTTAGGGTCCACTTTCATTTGTAACACTCACATAATTCCAGTGAAAAACCAAGAGGGCGTGGCTATGATGTTCATCATTAATTTTGAATATGTGACAGATGAGGAAAACGCTGCCTCCCCAGAGAGGGTAAACCCAATATTACCAGTCAAAACTGTAAACCGTAAGTAAAAGGCAACATGTACATAATTCTGCTACTGATATTACTGCTACTAGTAATTTTAATACATTCTTCATTTGAGTGAGTTTTCAAAATATGTTTGCATTAAGCCATAGCTGCCTTTACCCTTTGGTGCCTTACAGAATTGATCAGTTGCTTTTACAGCCATTTGACTTGGTTATACCATTGTTAATTCAACCAGTCCCCTACTAATGGACATTTAGGTTGTTTCCAAATTTTGGCCATTACAAACAATGCCAGAATGAATTGAGTATATGTATGTATATTTTTGGAAAATTATTTTCAGGGTAAGAGTTTATAAGTGGAATTCCTGGGTCAAAGGGTAAATGCATATGCAATTTTTATAGATACTACTAAACTCCCCTCCCCAGGGTTTGAACCATTTTACACTACCACCAGTAATGTATTAGATCTTTTCCCCAAAGCCATGCTAACAGAATGAGTCAGTCTTCTCGGTATTTGTCATTATGATAGGTGAGAAGTAGTACCTCAATCAGTTTTAGTTTACATTTCTTTTGTAATGAGGTTTACATTATGAATGTTGGTTCAGATATTTAAGCACTAGGATATTTCTTTTTCTGTCAACTGTCCATTTCTTGTATACATTTTTTGTCATTTTTTTCAAATGGTAAAATAAGTGGCACATCTCTTCCCAGCAAAAATTTTTTTGTCTTTTTCCTGATTTTTGTCATGCAAAGGTTTTGTTGTTGTTGTTGTTTATTTGTTTATAGTGCAGCTAAATTTATCAAGCTTTTCTTTGTTGAGTTTGAATTTTTGAGTCACTATTAGCAAAGCTTTTACCATTCCAAGGTTGTAAAAATTCTTTTCTTAGAACTTGTACAGCTTTAGAATCTCTGATACATTTTAAGTTTAGCTTTGTTTATATTGGTTTATATATATATGTGTGTGTGTGTGTGTGTATAAACACCTTGGCTTAGCAAGGTATATATTTAATTTATCATTTTATCAATGGCTCTCCAGTTGTTGTAACATCATTTATTAGAAAGTCTATCTTTTCAGCAATAATTTGGGTTGCCACCATTATCACATACTAAACTTCCTTATGTGCTTGAGTACATTTCTGGACTTTCTATTCTGTTTCATTGGCTTATTTATCATTCAGAATCACACTGTTTTAAATATACAATTAATCTCTGATATGACATGCTCCCTTTGACATTAATTTTCAGGGGTTTGAGGTTATTTCTTGCTAAACATTCTATATGAACTCTAGAAACAACTTGTTGAGATAAGGAAAAAATTCTTTTGTTTTTTTACTGAATTTGCATTAATTTTATAAATTAGTTTGAGGAATATTAACATCTTTATGATGTTGAGTCATTCTATACAAGAATATTATATGTATTTTCACTTTTAAGTCTAGTTTTTGTGTCTTTCAGGAGTGTTCACAATATTTTCTTACTCTTTAGTTTGCTACTTAGCATTTAACTTTTTGTTATTGCTGAGATTATAAATAGGATCATCTCTTTCATTATATCTTCTGATCATTTTTAAGGCTAATGATTTTTTTCTGAATATGTTAATTTTATATCCTACTATCTTAGTGAGTTACTTTAGTTTCCAGTTGACTCTTATGAATTTTTCAAGTAGAGACTGTTTTACATTTTCCTTTCCAATTCTGATATATGTAATAGTTTTCTCTTGTTTTATTGTGCTAGCTATTACCTCCAACATATTATTCAAAAGAAATTGATGTTAAACAGCATGCCTTGTTCCTGGTTTTTGTATGGATGGCAAGTGTTTTTCATTAATTCAAATGATAGCATTTGGGTTGAGTTGTATGTGTTTTATACTTTTAAGGCTTTTCATTAACTTATATTTATTAAGAATGGTGTTAAAATTTGTAAATTGCCTTTTCAGCACGTGTGGAAATGAGTGTTCTATTCTGTTTATTTTTATGATACATTTTATTAATGGGGTTACTAACATCTCTGAAAGGAGTTCACATATGATTATGATGTATTTCATTTTGTATTATGCTGTTGGATTCTCTTTATCTAAAATTAATTTAGGATTTTTACAGCAGTATTCATTAGGGAGACTCACCTGTAATTTGTGTGCGTGTGTGTGTATATGTGCAATTTCATCAGCTATTAATATCAATGTTATAATTCCTTCAGAAAATAATTTGGAAATTCTTTTCTATTTTCTATGCTAAAGAACTATCAAATAGTTCGGGGATTATCTGAACTTTAAAAGTTAAGTATGATTTTCCTGTGAAATCATCCAGGTCTGATACTTATTTGTGGAGTAGCTTTTTGACAAATTTCTTTCTTTTTTCTCCTAAGATTGGACTATTCAAGTTGTCCATCTCAACTAGTATCAGTTTTGCAAGTGTTTTTTCTCAAGAATTTTATGTAGATTTTAAAAATTTATTTTAATAGTATTATGTAGTCTTTTATGATTTTTTAAAGATTTTCTCAGTTCTATTTCTTGTTATATATTTAAACCACTTTTTAGTCTTTGTTTTGGTTGTGCTTTTTTTTGTATATTCTGGAGTTAGGTTTTCCTTTGTTTCTTATAAGAAAAAATAATACTTCTCTTTTAATTTATAATTATAATAGGTACTTATATTTACTGATATAACTACTATGGTTTTTCTTAGTACTAACATTCTATGTTAAATATACTCTCTTAAAACATGTCATTATGTTATGTTCTCTTTGCTTTTTTAAAAAAGTTTAACTGTGTGGTTTGGGGTTTTATCCTGTTTTTGCTTTTATTTTGGTATTTGAAAATATCTGTATTTTTTTGTAGTAGCAGTCTTTATAAGAAAATTTTATATAATGTCCTTAATCTTTCCTCTTTTTCCTCAGACACTGTATTTTGATTTCTTACTATGAACAACAATAAAATTAGCCTATAATTCTTTTCCTCCCCTTTCCACCATGCAATTTTAGTTAATAATATCTGTTCTAATTCTTATCTTTGCACTCCTAAGAATGGTCCTCGATCGTTGCGTTTCTCAATTTAAATTATATTACTTGATTCCTAATTTTTACCAACAAGGTACTTGATGAGCTTATTCTATATTTCCTTCTCCTCTCATTTTGTTTTGTTGCAGTATTTCTAGCTTGTCAGAGGCTGTGATATTCACATACATCACACTTTTGTTTTGATCTTAAATTTCTAGTGAAATATAATCAATCCTCAGCACTAGTCTCCAACCCCCCCCAAAGAAGTGATGTTTTTCCAAGGCTGCTAACTGAGGTCTTGTGCACTTTCAAGTCACTTTCTGTAGTCTCTTTAGTAACCAGTGCTCTGACCATTTAGGTCACACATCTGCTCTCAGTATTTCTTACATAGTGTGGAGTCCTCTTCATCTGTGGATAAACCATATTTGACATGTGTTCCATCCCTCTGAGGAGACCTTTGTACTCCCCTTTTCTTCACTAAGTTTTGGCCCAACTCTATTGCAGTGTGCTTTCCTGAACTAATTCTGCTGGTCTTAGGAATTTATTTCCCTGCCTATAAGTAAATTAAAGTGTGTAATGTCGAGGGGGCGGAGCAAGATGGCGGAGGAGTAGGAGACCTGGATTTCGTCTGGTCTCAGGAATTCAGCTGAAGAGGGATCAAACCATTCTCAACACCTACGAACTCAACAGGAGACCGAAGAAGAGAGTAGCAACAACTCTCTGAACAGAGAAGCAACCACTTACTGGAAGGTAGGACGTGCAGAGAAGTGAATCCGAGGCGATATTCAGGAGGATAGATGGAGGGGGAGGGGCCTCTGTCCGCCGCTTCTGGCAAGTGATAGAGCCGCAGAGCACAAAATCGGAACTTTTAGAAGTCGGCTCCGCTGAGGGACGTCGCTCCAGTGGCTAAGCTGGGGGTGGAACTCTCGCGGGACAGTGTGGTCTCAGGACCCTCGGGGTCAAGAAAGACCGGGGGTGCCTGAGTGCAGCAGAGCTCCCAGGTATTGGAGCGGGGAAGCCGGCTGCAGAGACGGAGCCGATGCACGGGCTCTCAGCTCGGGGTTGCCCTAAACTGTGATCCGCGGCGCAGTCGGGCCACTGCTCCTCCAGCAGGGACCCAACAAGCGGCAGATCCAGGGAGACTCCCCTTCCTCCCCTGGGAGGAGCAGCGCGGGAGTGCACCGAAGGGATCTGCTGGGTTTGGAGACTCCACACGTGGTCGGGTGCCAGAGATAGAAGCGCTCAGTCACAGGCGGGGTGAGCACGGAGTGCGGCCAGAGACCGGGGAGACGGGAGTGACTGCTTTTCTCTGGGGGCGCACTGAGGAGCGGGGCCCCGAGTTCTCGGCTCCTCCAGGTGGAGATTGGGAGGCCACCATTTTCACCCTGGTCCTCCAAAGCTGTACCGAGAGCTTGCAGGGAACGAAAGCTCCCGAGAGCAAACCTGAGCAGATTGCTTAGCCAGGCGGACCGACAAGGGCGGGGCAATTCTGCCTCCGGCAAAGACATTTGGGAAACACGGCAACAGGCCCCTCCCCCAGAAGATCAGCACGAACAGCCAGCAAGCCAAGACCAAGTTTACCGATCAAGGAGAATGGGAGAACTCCAGCGCTAGGGGAATCCTGCACATAGAATTCATGGTTTTTTTACCATGATTCATTAGTTTTTCAAAGTTAATTTTTTAACTGTTTTTTTTTAATTTTTCTTTTTCCCTTTTTCCACCAACATCTTATCAATCCCTTTTTAAAAAAAAAATTTTTTATTTTTCTTTTTTAGAGTCATATTTATCCCTTCATAGTAGTTACCCTTATTTTTGGCATATATATATAAGTTTTTCTCTCTTTAAAATTTTGAGATACAGTTTCTTCTAACAGATCAAAATATACCCTAAATCACTGGTGTATGGCTTTGTTCTAGTCTCCTGCCTGATCACATTCTCTCCCTTTTTTTTTAAATCTTCTTTCTTTTTTCAAACAACTTATCTTATCAATTCCTTTTATAAAATCTTTTATAATTTTCATCTTTACAGTCATCTTCCATCCCTTCA